TTTAAGTGGTCCACTCTCAGCTAAACATTGGAATTTTAAAGTTGACAGTACGTACGTAGTATGACCAAACACAAAAAGCAGAGAAATTTTTTTTTTTTTTTTTGTGGGACATTCCAAGATATAAGGCTGGGCGATACAGCTGAATAATAACTAACTGATTTTTTTTTTCCTACAGAAATCTATTTTTCACTCCCTTAGTTTGACAATAGACAAAGTCAAACGAAAAAGATTACTTGAGAAAAAACATTTTATTTCAATCATCCCCTCTGGAAAGGTGGCCTGGTGAAAAAAAAAAAGAAATTCTACATTTTTCCAGAAATAAAGTCTTCATAAAAAGAAAAGAAGAATGATCAATAAAATCAGTTAAATGAATCTGCCCGACCCAAATATGTTGTTAAAAATATTTACTCAACCATTAGAGTAATTGATTTTAGGTGTTTAAAGGGCTTATATCAGGCAAAATCAACTTTTTTCTTAACTTTAAGGATTCAAGTATTTTTTTTTTTTTTACCAGTCAAATTTACATGTTTATGGTATGAAATTTGAACTCAGGTCTCAGTTCAATCAGCTTAACATTAAAGAAAAGAGAGAAAAAATAGAATTTTGTTCAACAATCTAAAAGCTGTTTGAGTCTGGCTGTTTTGCTCTGGATGCTCCTCAGCTGCTTGCTTGAAGGCAGAGGCTTTCTGACCAGACAGGAAGTGTTGGTGAGGTCACTGGATAAATGCACGTCCAGGGACCTGTGGCTGGACACCACCTCCACACCTGTGCCTCTGAGTAGGATCCTTGTTCTTTCTGAAATCAACCATCTCCTTAGTGGTCTTCACATTGATGCAGAGGTTATTATCTATAAAATCAGGTGTTCAACTTCCTCATCATTGTTTGTGAGGTGTTTCACAACTGCTGTGTTACTTCACTATATGACAGCTGGGGTGTCTTGCACTGCAGCAGAGCAAATGGGAGGGGGCTCAGCACACAGCTTTGGGGTGAGCCAAAGCTGAGGGTCATGGAGGAGGAGAATGTGTTGTGAATCCCGACAGCCTAAGGTTTGTTGAAGTCCAGGACCCAGTTCCCCACCGTGGGACTCAGTCCAACAGAAGAGAGCTTCTTTCAAGGTCTGTGAGATGATGGTGTTGAAGGTCGAGGAGAAATCCAGGAAGGGCAGATGGGTGAAGGAATTTCATCTCTCCATGTGGGTGAGCTCTGTGTGGACTGTTGATGAGAAGGCATCAGTGGTGGATCGGTTCCTCCAATAGGCCTACTGATGTTGGTCCAAAGGGATGTCCATGGAGTCCTTCATGTGGGTCACAACTAACCTTTCAAAGCACTTGATGACGACAGATGTTTATGCTATATGTCTGTAGTCATTCAGGTCTGGCAATGTGCAGCACTTTGGGACAGGGTCAATAGTGGTGAACTTTAAGCAGGTTGAAATGGACCCTTTAACCCAATTGAACACCCCTATGAAGATTCAAATCTTTTCTCCAAAGAGTCTGAGATCAAACGTTCAAACGTTTTTACAAACGGACCCATGAATTGCTCAGAAATAACTTTTCTGCAACACCCAAGCTGTTAAATCTACAAGTGCTAGGCCGACAGGATGTTAACCATAAATTGGATGTCACTCAAATAAATGTGTGTGAATGCAAGCAACTAAATATCTTTGACTGCATCTCATTTTGTTGCATGAGAGCAGGTAACTCCGCTAAACACAGATAGTTTACCTGGAAAACAGTAATCCATGAGTAGCCGATGCTATCGACGTGGATGGAGCCCAAGAGCGGGTTAGGTCCACCAGCACGACACACAGTGTAGTACGCATTCCAGTTAATGCAGCCACTAGCGTTTGCTTGGTCGTCTGCCAGCTGCTTGTTGTCTCCTTCCATTGGGAATGGATGGATGGATGGATGGATGGATGGATGGATGGATGGATGGATGGATGGATGGATGGATGGATGGATGGATGGATGGATGGATGGATGGATGGAAGGATGGATGGAAGGATGGATGGATGGAAGGATGTTTCCTTATGTGCTCTGTTGTACATCCTGTACATATATTCAGTGCTTCAGATTACCTTCCACTCTGCTGATCATACGCAGCATTGAGATCACCAAGAGCCATTCCCCATGCACCCCGCAAAGGTTCAGAATGATAACCGTGAACCTGAGGAGAAAAGGATAAATACACATGCAAAAATATAAAAAATACAGAGGGCAGAGAGTGTTGATGTTTCAACAACACTTTGGATTTCATTTACATCGTAGATGCACATCATGCATATGTGCATCTACTGAAGCAGTTATCAATTTACTTATTTAACAAAAACACACAACACATAAGAGCTGCTAATTTCTTATTAATTCAGAGATTTTAAAAGTTGTACTGAAACGTGATTTTTTAAAATTTGATCAAATTAACTAAAATCTGCAGATTCTCTTCAGTAAATAATTTTGATTTTTTTTTTTGCCACAATAACTGCAGTCATCACACATTTAAAATAAATCCTTAACAGTATTTAAAACCCTTTATCACGTTTTCACTGCTATTGTCTGTTAAAAAGAAGGTTCATTTTGTTTGCCATAGGTAAAAAAAAAAAAAAAATTGTCACTTAAATATACATGAAAATAATTTCCACAGTTCATTTTGGGACTTACCAATAGCTACTATATCTTTTCAGGGGCAAACCTGTAAACAGAAAAGAAAGAATGTGATCATAAACAATATCAAGACATTCTATACTGACAGGAAAGAGAAATAAATTCAAACACATCTTTTTTTCTAGGGATACTCTGGTATCGATGGCACACAAAATAAATTAAACAATATTTGTCCATATTTCATTTACCCAACCAATCTTCTAACATGTGCTCCTTACCTGGTTTATTTAAACAGCCTAAACCTTGAACGCTCTGACTGAAAAAAAACAGTCAATCGTTTAAAGGAATAGTACACCCAAAACATGATTAGCCTTCATTTTCTACTCACCCCCATGCTGAACAACACTCTGGAGTACTTTTTTGATATCTCAAATGCATCTGGAGATCTGGGAGGCTTCTTGCTGTCTGCTGACATTCAAATAATGGAGGTCTATGGCGCCCGAGACAGAAAGGTCCATAAAAGTCCACAAAAAACGTGTCAATATTCCTCCATACTGCTCGTCCAATGTATTCCAAGTGTCCTGAGTGGGTAGCATCCAGAATTTACTCAAAACAAAGACTCGAAACAAAGTCATTTAGAATGTTTTTAGAGCATAAACAGTAGTGTATAGGATTTCCTGAAAGCGCGCGCCTGCGCGTTCACGACGCTACGGAAGCCGGCAGACCAAACCAGATGAAAGTGCGCATTTGAGATATCAAAAAAGTACTCCGGAGTGTTGTTCAGCATGGGGGTGAGTAGAAAATGAAGGCTAATCATGTTTTGGGTGTACTATTCCTTTAAGAGCTGTGTAGTTTGGATGCAGCATCAGCGCCATGTGTGTTTGCCAAAATCTGAATAGCATGCAGCGGCAATACTCAAATAACAGTGAACATTGAAACCCAGCATCATAACAGTTACACAACAAGCCCCCTAACCCCGAAATCCCACATACTCCGTCAGCGCTCCGCTCCGCCCCGCTGCACTCCAGCCAGCCTGCACAAAGCAAAGCATACAGCCTCCGCTGTGGCTCCCGTCTGCTCTGAGTTCCTTGGAGATCGTAGAGGGCATGCGTGAGATGATTAAATTCAAAGCAGCAAAACATGAACCAGGGTTTCCGCGGATCATTAAAAATAATTACAAATCATTAACTTTTTTTTAAACTAAGGCCTTAATTGGCACTAAAACTAATTTGATATGTTTATCGTGGCATTTATAATTCTTTAATAAAAAATTGTTATAAAAACCATTTCGTCAGATATATTATATTGCGATTAATTTGCGTGGAACTGATCATAAAGCTAGAGAATATATATATATATATATATATATATATAAATAATGTGTGTGTTTTAACTTGTGTACATGGTACTTGTTGATGGCATTAAAATCCTTTCTAATAGCATTAAAATAGCATTAAATTAGAGTCACTCATTCCTGTCTGAACCCTGTGAACGCTTAATTTAATATGGCATATTAAAAAAATCCCACCATCATCCAGCATATGTTCAGTTTCTGCCCAAATATTTTTTTGTTGTTGCAGATTTTTGTAATGGGGATAACTAGGATCATTCTAAACTGCTTTTTTTGAATGAACTTTGTTTGTTCTCTATCTCTAAACTCAGCATTTCTTCATCCATTCCTGCAATAAGAAGTTTCTTTTGAATGGATTTGATTAAACTTTAAGTCCCTCGGTATAAAATAAATATTTTGATGGAGATGAGAAATCTGCTTACTGGTTGGTGAATAACCAATAGTTTGCATCCAATCATTTAAATAAACGGTGTCAGTTTATTTTGGAAAATATAAGAATTATGCTATCATTTCTACTTACCAATCTGTTGCTGCTACTATATTTTAATTTGACGAACCGGAATTTCTCGATGTTCTTTTTCCTTTTTGGTGCGATTGCAATTGCGGATCTTGATCTGGCCGGACCGGAGCGGAGCAAAAAATAGCTCGGCTCCGTATTTTGTCGGTGACGGACGGAGAAGACGTACGTGGACGGAGACGTACGGAGGAGTGGCGGTGGATGTGGAACAGCTCTCATTGATTTACATGAAAGACAAGCGCTCAGCATGATGTACGTCAGCGGAGCGGAGCGCTGACGTAGTATGTGGAACTGGGGGTGACCCTGAAATCCCACATACTCCGTCAGCGCTCCGCTCCGTCCCGCTGCGCTCCAGACCGCCTGCACAAAGCAAAGTCTATAGCGTCCGCTGTGGATCCCCTCCGCTCTGCTCCGGAGTTCCTTGGAGATCGTAGAGGGGCATGCGCGAGATGATTAAATTCAAAGCAGCAAAATATGCAGTGTTAGAATGGCCTTTAGCGGTTGGAGGAAGTAGGAGACTTGAGGCAGAGAAACTGTGCAGCCCCACTGGGTGTTTATTCACCAACATTTAACCAAACAAAACAAACTCTGCTCATTTTGGCCTAGGGTCTCAGCAGCAACAACTCAATATGGCCAACATGCAGCCTTTTATAGCTGTTGGCTGTTCCAATACACAAACCCACCAAGAAACAGGGTAAAACAAAATACATACACACAAACAAGGTTTGACAAACTACCAAAAATCCTCAAAATATATATTGCCAATGCTAGTCATTTTCAGCATCTCTACAAACACATCTTTATCAATATAAATACAAATCCAACATTAAGTTTATAAAATGTCTAACTCTCTGCTCCCCCCCTTCCGTCTGCTTTGGTCTCTTCCGGAACCTTTAAAAGGTACTCAGGCCCCCGGGGAATCTTTTAGCCTGAACACCCTGCAGAGGAAGAGAGAGGTAAGCCACACCCATACAAGCCTTCAAACATTTTAAACAATCAATACTTATATCATCCCTTTGTTGTATTTTAACAGGACATAATCAGTTCCAGCTGAGATGCCACCGAAACCACCATTAATAAACCATTTCAATCAGTTTGTATCCGGTTTATTTCCTTCATCATGCATTTCTTTTATCATTTAACACATTTTAAGTGTTGTACCATCAAGTAATGAAGACCTTCATTACATGCAGAAATGAACCAGGGTTTCCGTGGATCATTAAAAATAATTACAATTCATTTTTTTTTTTTCAAATCAAGGCCTTAATTGGCACTAAAATTAATTAAATATGTTTATCGAGGCATTTATAATTCTTTAATAAAAAATGTTTATAAAAACAATTCGGTCAGATATATTATATTGCGATTATTTGCGTGGAACTGATCATAAAGCCGTATGTTTGGAAAGGAAGCTCGAGGCGGAGAAAAAGCTAGAAAAAAATATATAGCCTATATATATGTGTGTGTGTGTGTGTGTGTGTTTACATACATACAGGAGTCATGGAACTCTGCTTACAGCTCCTTCATATTTCATGTACACTGATAACTTGTGTACATGGTACTTGTTGATGGCATTAAAATAATTTCTAATAGCATTAAAATTGCATTAAATTAGAGTCACTCATTCCTGTATGAACCCTGTGAACGCTTAATTTAATATGGTATATTAAAAAAATCCTACCATCATCCAACATATCTTCAGTTTCTGCCCAAATATATATATATATATATATATATATATATATATATATATATATATATATATATATATATATATATATATATATATATATATATATATTTGTAGATTTTTGTAACGGGTATAAGGATAATTCCAAACAGCTTTTTTTTTATGAACTTGTTCTCTACTCCCAAACTCAGCATCTCTTTTCATTCCTGTAATAAGAAGTTTCTTTTGAATGGATTTGATTAAACTTTAAGTCCCTCGGTATAAAATAAATATTTTGATGGAGATGAGAAATCTGCTTCCTCGTTGGTGAATAACCAATAGTTTGGATCCAATCATTTAAATAAACGGTGTTAGTTTTGTGTTTTTTAATATATATATAAGAATTGTGCTATAATTTCTAGTCACCGATCTGTTGCAGCTATATTTCAATCTGAAAAACTCGCACAGAGAATTTTATTGATAAGGAGTATAGTCTTTGGCGCTCAGGCCTCGGCAGGAACATTCATGCTGAATTATGCTTAACATGCATAGGTAGATGAATGAGAATAGGGATGTTCCCCCTGGCCTGAAACTGGTGGTGGTTTAGTTCGAGCTGGTTAACGAGGTGATCTGCTTGAGCTGTATTGTGGGACCAGAGACTACAGGAGCTGACGCCGGGGTTTCACTCAGAGACTCAGGATGTAGAGGTCTGTTTGGTGATGCAGGTACCATGAACTGTCCATGATGAGCAAGCATGAAGCGACAGTGGAGAGGAAAAACTCCCCTTTGGGAAGAAACCTCTGGCAGAACCGGGCTCAACATGGTGATCTTCTGCCGGACCAGTTGCAATGAGACGAGGGATGGTGACGACTGGGATTTATACACTCTGATGAGGTTGGGGTAGAAGTCATGTCATGGAAGACGACTCAACTACGATGGCGGAGGAGGGGATGGAGGTGGGTGAATTGTCGTCTGAATAAAATCTGACATTGCGTTTGCTGGATAGCGGGCTGAGACGGGGATTTGAAGGTGCTTATGAAGTGAAAGCAGGATGCTGATTGGGCTTCGTGATGGAGTAGTTTGAAGCTGATTGGCTCGCGTCAGAGACGGATCAGCTTCTGATGGATGAGGTAAGCCAGAGTTTCTTCAATTGAACTTCCGCTAGAGCTTCATTTTAATTTGACTAACCGGAATTTCTCGATGTTCTTTTTCCTGTTTGGTGCGATTGCAATTGCGGATCTTGACCTGGCCGGACGGGAGCGGAGCAAAAAATAGCTCGGCTCCGTAATTTGTCGGTGACGGACGGAGACGTGCGGAGGAGTACACTGCATGAAAAGTGAGATTTTCGTCCTCGTAAACTCCCGCAGATCTCCCTGATTTTCGTCAGTTTCCGACAATTTGCAACCCGTGCTTGTCCGCGTTTGTCAGTGCCACAAATTGTCGGGAACGGACTCTGACATATGTGGAGAGCGATCAGCTGTACTAATGGCCCTAATTAGCATATGAATGCAGCGAACCCGCTCGGCTGGCCAGGTCTGGCTTGAATAACCTACTCAGTATTGGCTAAAACCACTATTCTCAAACAAGTAAAATCGCTCGTGATTGGCAGCAAAACCACACGTGGCCACGCCAGGCTTTAATTTTCTTACTGATTATTGGATGGAACCACTTCTTTATAAACAAGTAAAATCGCTCGTGATTGGTTGGCATATATATATATATTTACATATATATTTACATAAATATATATGTAAATATATATATAAATATATATTTATTTATTTATTTATTCATATATTTATTCATTCATATATTTATTTATTCATATGCTGTGTATTTATTTTATCCTACACTACTACACATGAATGAATTTATACAGGAAATGAACATTTGCCAGGAAGCTGTTTATGCAAAGAAAGAGCTTTATTAAAACAAACACAACTATATACAACGCAAGGATCTGCCCACACATGCGTATCCAAAAATTACAACTCCGTGAACTGTCCGTTTGCCTCCTCGGGGTTGGAGGTAACTGGCAGCATTCCCTCCGAGGCAGGTCCGATGTGCAGACGCCTACTGTGCGTGGCCCTGTACTTCGGCATCGCTTCTAACCGGGACTGCAGCTTAATACAGAGTTCAGAGAGATCCGGCCTACGAAATGGCGACGGCCATTCCAGAGTTCCCCTTCCTCATCAGCTAGCACACTCTGCCTCGATTCCAGCAGCTGTAAAAAAAAAAACAACAACAATGAATCAGCACTATGCGATGGGATGCACTGCGTATGGACACAACACATCTATCAATGCACCTGAAAAATAGTCACCAAATAAAGTCTTACTCTCTTTCTTTTCTGAATGCTTGGCAGCTTCCGCGCGCAACGTGTTCTCAGGCTGCGTATATGTGAAGCTCCTGCGTACCGTCTCATAATACGTCTTACAGGCAGCTGGAAAACAATTAAATGAGAGTGGTATGAATAATAGGAGGTCACCGCCTCATTATGAGGCGAGATTAGTCTGTGAAAACAAAATGTACAGTTATGATCGGTATCCATCCGTATCTATTTCCTTTTACCGCAGAATGAAAGCATATTCTTTAACTCTTACCCTTGCTCCGGTTCATAGCGCCTGCAATTCGTCTCCGAGTTGTGAAGACGGTGTACTGCTTCCTGTGAATCACAAAAAATACACTTTAATAAAGCTTGTTCTTGCAAGGCTACTATTAGCTGTAGCTTTAGGCTAGGCTGCTATTAGCGGTAGCTTTAGCCTTTAGCTTAGCATGCAGTAATCGAACATATATTTACCACTAGCTTCTCTTCTTTGAGTTCGTCTCTCCCGCACAGTTGTTCGACTGCAGAGTCGCCATCGCGTCCAAGAGGAGTTGAAGGCGAGTTGAACGTGAGACGTCGTCCAGCCATTGATCACGTACCAGCAAAATCCAAACAAAGGAACTGGAGATAAAGTTCTTCTGAGTATAGCTCCTCCAATCACATACGAGGTCATTGTTATACGGAAGGACTCGCGAGAACAGCTGCGTCTATAATGTTTTTTTTGTTTGTTTTTTTGCTTTATTGGCAATTCCCTGTAACAATACAGAGTAATTCAAACATCAAACAAAGATACACAGCAGTTGGTGACATTATAACTTAAAAAAATGAGACATATAATGTAAAAAATAAATAAAAATAAAACAAGGGAAACAAACATATAAATAAATAAACAAATACATAAAATAAGCATAAAATAATAATAGCTAGGGGTTTACATTGAGTTTATGGTCATTTTACTTTTTGTAGCTTCCTGTCCTAAACAGTCTTTAAGGAAACATATTAGAAGATGCAATATTGTATATGTGAGAGAGGAGTTGCTGTAAAACAATGGTTTACCACAGATTTAAAACTAGTAATAGAAATATGAAAACTCTAAAACAGTCTTTAGACTTTTTATCAGCAATTACTCTGGGTAGCACAACTTGTGTTACAGAAAATAGCAGGCTTTGGAGATATGTTCTGGAGAATCTTGATTTATACCATACTACAGAACATTTCAAAAGGCTGCTGACTTTTTCTATGTTTGTAGGTGAAAATAATAAAAACTACAAAACGAGACACTAGTGCCGTAAAAACTCCAAAATGTGCTGTAAACTCCCCAAAAAATATCAATTTAAAACTCCCCAAAAAAAGGCTCTTGCATAAAAGCTTCTACAACACAATGCTGTTGATGGTAGATTGTTTTGAAGGGTCAGACAGGAAAGCTTGGTAAATAAATCTAACATATCTGAGATGCCGATACCATTTACTGTGAAAGAAAGGACAACGGAGAGAAAATGTAGAGAATAATGTAGGAGTGCTGCTAGAATTCCAGTTCCAAGATCTGTGTTTTCTATTACTTCTACAACCACTAAAACTTATGTTATAAATGTATGTTATTGGCAAGTGAAACCCTGTCAGAGCTCTCCTTAGATATCAGCCCAGTTACAGTTTGCCCTGCAAAAATAATCTGCTCTCTTGAAAATCTCAAACTCTTGCCACATTTCAGGCATCGAACATAAACATTTTTAGTGAAGAATCAACAACTAGTTTTACCCAATCATGAAGTGTAATTAAATATATTGGATATTTTTTACTTTTTTAACAAATAAAAAACTGAAGAATGGGGTGTGCAAAATGAATCGGCCCCTTTTACTTTCAGTGCAGCAAACTCTCCCCAGAAGTTCAGTGAGCATCTCTGAATGATCCAATGTCGACCTAAATGATACTAAATAGAATCCACCTGTGTGTAATCAAGTTTCCCGATAAATGCACCTGCTCTGTGATCGCCTCAGAGGTCTGTTTAAAGTGCAGAGAGCATCATGAAGAACAAGGAACACATCAGACAGGTCCGAGACACTGTTGTGGAGAAGTTTAAAGCTGGATTTGGAAACAAAAA